TATATATATATATATATATATATATATATATATATATATATATATGTGTGTGTGTGTGTGTGTGTGTGTGTGTGTGTGTGTGTGTGTGTGTGTGTGTAATACACACACACACACACAAATCTTCATGTCCGGAATTCCGGATGGGAACCCGCCGTCCGGATGGCGGCGTTTCGGCCTCTTCCCGGTGAAATTTGTTTATGAAATTTTTATGACATGTTCTTCATCAAGTCTATTTTATCCATAAAAAAATTCAGCTAAAAATCCAATCGGGAAGGTCGTCAATTAACTGCGTTTTATATGTATATTTTGGGTGCAGTTATCTTCTAAAAATCATTTGACGGCCTTCTCGATTGAATTTTTAGCTGATTTGTTTTTTGGATAAACTAGACATGATGAAGAACATGTTATAAAAATTTCATCAAAAAATTCCACCGGGAAGAGCCCCATATGCCGATATATATAGGGAGTAGTTCCGGTAAGAACGGACCCTCGTGAGAGAAATGAGAATGAATCTGAAGCATTGGATTGAATTATGCGGAACTGAATTGTGCATTTCGTGAAACTGAAATGTGCGCAATCAAAATTTAAACTCAAATGTGCATTAGGTGAAACTGAAATGTACGGAATAAAAGGTACAAAAATAATATCACAGCGTACCTTTTATTCTGCACATTTCAGTTTCACCTAATGCACATTTCAATTTCACCTAATCAACAACAAAACCAACATCCAAACCTTAGTCCCAAAAGATATTGGGGTCGGCTAACATGACTCGATACACGATATCACCACCAAAGGAAAAGAACGAAAATAAAGATAAAAAAGATAAGCTATAATAAAAAGAATATAAAAAGAGATGAATATACATAAAAAAAGATAAAATAAAAAGGATACGAAATATTGCTTATATATAAGGATAAAAACAAGGGAAAAGATGGGAAAGGATGATACGAGATCACTCCTCCACACGAATACCCGCCCTTCACTTAGCTCTCTCCAAAGTCATGCTCTCATCCAACCCCAAAAGAAGCATATCACTTCGAACTCCCCTAATTCACGTCTGTTTGGGTCTTTCTCTCCCTCTCTTCCTTGCCTCTTCTTCACACATCTCAACTCGTCTGACAGGTGCATCACTCGGTCTTCTACACACATGACCAAACCACCGTAGGCGCGACTCCCGCATCTTGTCTTCAATAGGTGCTACTCCCACCTTTTGTCTGATTGTCCCATTCCTCACGCGGTCCTTCCTAGTATGCCCACACATCCAACGCAGCATGCGCATCTCTGTCACACTCATCTTTTGAATGTGACATTGTTTCACCGCCCAACACTCTACGTCATACGGTAATGCAGGCCTAATTGCTGTCCTATAAAATTTACTCTTCAGTCTAGTCGGCATACCTCGATCGCATAGAAATTCTGACACACTCTTCTACTTCATCCACCCTGTTCTGATTCTATGGGATACATCTCCATCTAACTCATTGTCCTTCTGAATTATGGAGCTCAAGTAACGGAACATAGCGCTGACTAGTATCTCCTTACCATCCAGAGTAATTCCGCTATTACCACTGCTTCTACCTCCACCAAACTTGCACTCCATTACTCTGTCTTGCTCCGACTTAGTTTAAAACCCTTATTCTCCAATGTTTGTCACCATACTTCCAACTTTGTTTTAAGACCTGATTGCGTCTCATCAATCAATACAATATCATCGGCAAACATCATGCACCATGATATATCATCTTGAATTGACTTTGTAAGTTCATCCATGACTATGGCAAATAAGAAAGGGCTCAGAGCCGATCCTTGGTGCACTCCGATAGTAATAGGGAACTCTTCAGTCCTCTTTGCACTAGTATGGATACTTGTAGTACAATCCTCATACATATCCATGATGATGCTGATATACTTGCGTGATATGCCTTTTCTAGTTAAGGCCCACCAAAGAACTTCTCGAGGTACCCTATCATATGCCTTTTCTAAGCCAATGAACACCAAATGCAGATCCTTATGAGCATCTCTATACTTCTCCGTAAGTTGTCGAAGAAGGTGAATGGCATCAGCTGTTGAGCGACCAGGCATAAAACCAAATTGATTCTCTAAAATCTTCACAGTTCTTCGAAGTCTTTGCTCAATCACTTGCTCCCAAAGTTTCATGGCGTGACTCATAAGCTTAATCCCTCGATAGTTGGCACATTCTTGTACATCACCTTTATTCTTAAATAAGAGGATAAGAGTACTCTCTCTCCAACTCGTTGGCATCTTGTTGTTTCTCCAAATCATGTTGAAGCAACTTATTAACCACTCGACGCCTCTCTCTCCCAAAATTCTCCAAGCCTCAATTGGTATGCCATCTGGACCCACTGCTTTCTTCCATCCCATCTTCCTCAAAGCTTCTTTAACTTCCATTGTTTGGATCCTTCTCACAAAATCACGAGTTACCATACAATCTGGTATGGACAAATCATCGATATCTTGCGTTTTGTTCCCGTTGAATAGTGTATCAAAGTATGACCTCCACCTCTCTTTTATCTCTCCGTCATCCATTAATATCCTTTGATTGACATCCTTCACACACTTAACTTTTGCAATATCTTGAGTCATGCAATCACGAAGACGAGCAAGTCTATAAATATCTAGTTGTCCTTCCTTAGAGTCCAATTTGTCATACAACTCCTTGTTCACTTTCCCTCGTACTTCTCTTACAGCTTTCTTTGCTTGTCTTTTAGTCTCCTTGTATGCTTCTATGTTCTCATCACTCCAACTTGTCCCTAACTTTTTGTAGCAATCTCTTTTGTTCCTTATGGCTTGTTTCACCTCATCATTCCACCAAGATGTGTCCTTTTTAGGTGGCAAACATCCTTTAGATTCTCCAAGTACCTCCCTTTGCCACTTTGTTAATGGTCAACTCCATTTATAACCACACATCATCCACATGTGTTTCATTATCAATACGCCACACATCTTCACCGACCATTTTGTGTGTAAAGCTTTGTTGAAGATTTCCCTCAAGCCTCCACCATTTTATCTTTGGCTCCACTTGTTGTTTAACTTATCTTCTATGGTTATTACCTCGAAAGTCAAGCACAAGCATCCTATGTTGAGTGACAACACTCTCACCTGGAATAACCTTACAATCAGTGTAGCTAGTTCTCCAAGTGGTCCGTACTAAGAAGCAGTCAATTTGGGTACTATTAGCTCAACTTTTATAGGTTACAAGGTGAGAGTCTCTTTTCTTAAACCAGTGTTCATTATAGCCAACTCATACGTCAAGGCAAAATCCAAAATGTTCTTTTCCGCTTCATTCCTAGTGCCAAAATCATGCCCGTCATGAATACTCTCAAAGCCATCACGACTCGAGCCCACATGCTAGTTGAGGTCACCTCCTATGATCAACTTCTATCCCCTTGGCACTCGTCGCACCACGTCTTCAAGATCTTCCCAGAACTGTTGAGTTGTAGATGCATTCAATCCCACTTGCGGTGCATAGGCACTTACCACAAACACAATCTCACCCCTTATCGCCAATTTAATGCTTATGATGCGATCGTTCTTCGTGAAGACTTCTACCACATCCTCAACATTGTATCGCGCCACAATAATGTCTACTCCATTTCTGGTTTTATCTCTCTCCGAATACCACAACTTAAAACTCCCAGGATTAATTTTGCGTGCTTTCTCTCCAACCCATTTAGTTTCTTGGACACACATAATGGTGATATTCCTTCTGCTCATAACCTCGACTACCTCGGAAGATCTGCCTGTAAGAGACCCAACATTCCATGTCCCAAAATGCAATCTACCACTCCACCTTCTGTTCTTAGCCCCATCTCAGACCCCACCATGCCCTTGCATATTTGACATGGCAATGGGATGACACGCCACTTCCGGGCGGCGACCTAGAAAACTTAGCATTCTTATCACCATAATCATGTCTATGAAGTGTAGTGCGCCCTTGCATATTTGACATCACCCCAGACGGATGGATGACGCGTCACATACGGGTGACGACCTAGCATTAGCGATATCAATTTCACCTAATGCACAATTCAATTTCACATGTCACTACATCATACTCTTTGTGTTGCACGTTTCAATTTCACCTAATGCACATTACAGTCAGGGATGGACTCAACCGAGCCGAACTGGCCCGTGAACCGGACCGACCCGCTACTGTGCGAGCCTGGACCAGACCGGGACCGGATGGCCGATTCCAGGCTTTAACCCGATTTGGGCAGGCCTAGCGGGCCAAGCTCAAGCATTAATTTTCATGAACCAGCCCAAGCGAGCCGGGCTGACCCCGGTTCATTTTTTTTTCAATTTTTTTTCTTTTTCTTAGGTAGGGCTAGCCCGGCTGGGTGTTTTGGGGAGGTTTGAGGGGTGGGGTGAGGGGGGGTCGAGGGTTAAATAGAAAGCAAAAAAAAATACATTGAACCGGCCCGGACTGGCCCGATTTGGCCCAAACCCGGTATCAAGCCGAGTCGATTCTGGGCCCAACATCCTAAAAAAAAGCCCGGCTTGAACCGGCCTGAAGCCCGACCCGAGCCTGATCCATGCCTAATTACAATTTCATCCAATGCAAATTGAATTTCACTTAAAGCAAATCTAACAGTCCAAATTTATTCTCATTTCTCTCCTAAGATCATGCTTTTATTTGAACTAAAACATACACACACGCACATATGTACTTCCGTTGTCCCATAAAATTCTTCAAACTTTCCTTTTTGGCACGTCCCAAAAAATTCTTCTCACTTACCATTTTTGGATAATTTGTGAGGTTTACATTCATTTCACCTTTTTCTTACACACACAACCACACATTTCCACTTTATTAATATCCATGTCAAGTCAATGTGGGAAGAATTTTATGGAAGAGAGGTATATTGCAAGAAAAAGATGCAAATAAACGGAATTGATTACTGTATTATCTTGTTGATTCCATACTTCCATGCGTTTTTTATCTAAATGTCATTATAACAATCTGAACTTCGATTTTACAGCTATTGAAAGACACCAAGTCACCAAATGGTAAAGTTAGGGGGAAAACAACAAAAAGGCAAACTTAAATACATTGCCTCATACCCAGACCAATGAATTTACATAGCCCCTACAGTTTAGATGATAATTGGCCAGCCGTCTTAGCTGCGTAGAAGAAAAGTGACTGAAGTTTATAGAGAGAATACTACAATATTAAAAACAAATGAAAATCAAATAAAACAAATATGTCAATTTACAGCACGCCTCATTTTGAAGCCTAAGACAACATAATAAAAATAAAAAGCAGCAGCGGGCAAACAGGCCAATCCAGCTGTGTATACATTAAAGAATTAAAAGATTAGATCGCCAAGGGCTTATAGGGTAGTCAAACTCAACACCTCTCCGCCTATGCAAGCAAGAACCGAAATACATCGCTAAGAGATATGATACCTTCGACACGCTTGCTTCCGGCCTCCACAATTACAAGCCGTCTCACACCTAATAGAAACAAAATGTTTTATATTGCAAATAAAATGGCTTTTGTGCCCTTGGTAAAATAGTATGGTGTCAAAGAGAGGCAAAAATAGTTGACCTGGCTTTGATAATTTGTCCATTACTTTATGGAGTGGATCAGAACGCAAGCACATATGACATCTTTCATTGCCGACCACGTAGGGAGAAGAAGGGTATGGTTCCTCTCCGAGTTGCAGTGCCTAAAAAGCGTTGTACAAAAATGTGTAAATTTTGGCATCCAAAGACTGATTAAAATACAGAGTTCAGCAACAAAAGAAATTATTGCTCTCTTCACTAAACATAAAATTGCAATTTAAAGTTTCCCTTATGATGCCCATGAACTGTGATTGACACACTGCTTACTCGCTTAGAAAAAGAAAATGGTCTAGTCATTGTAGTATTTATTTTGAAACAGCCAAAAAAGGTATGATGTTTTCAAGGGAAAGCCTAGAAGGAGTTATATTGTCATTTTAAAGAAAACGTAAACCAAATAAAGAAAGATAAATTTATTTTGAAACATCCACAAAAGAAAACTTGATATTTTCAAGGGACGAGGTGAAATGTGATAAACTATTATACGGACATGCGGTATTACACTCTTTAATAGGCTTCATTGTACTTACCTGATGAATTGTCATTTCATCAAGATTGATATGTGTATAGATTTTGTCCTTCGCCAAAGCTGTAATATCACTGTAGATGGACTTGGAAGATTAACATCGAGCTTTTATTTAGAGACAGAATAAGACATGAGACAAAGTTATTAAAATTGACGCCAACCTTCGGGAATATATATCCAATAATGAGTCATTCTCATCAACAATGGGAATTGAACCAACTTGAGCTGCAAAAGCCAATGAATAAAAGCCTAATAAGCCTATAGCATAAACTATACAGAGTAATCATTTCTGCTAGTACTGTTACCACCAAACTCAGAGCAAAAAATAATACTCCATCTGTACCTAAATTATTTCCCATTTTTCAAGAAAGTGAAGCGCACGGTTAGAATTTAGTCCGAAGAGAGAAATATTGTGAAGTATGTCAACAATTTATGAATACAGGGAGCATTCAATATCCTGATGTTATTTCAAACAAAGAACCAAAAAATGAATAGGAAAGCCAACCTTGAATTAATAAATCCAATGCGGCGCTAAGAGAGTCGGTCGGTCTCAACATTGCCAAAGGCTGTGGATTTGGCTCTCCAATATTAGGAACCCAGGTGCCCAAAGGTATTGCATTGATTGGGAATTGAAGAATGGGCAGAGATGCTGGTGAATGCCTGAAATACCTGCAAATATCTGCAAATTGGCACAAACCGTGTTAGATCATACACCAGATGAAACTTTTATTGTGGTTTTACAAAAACTGAAGTATAAGAACCTTACATTTTAGTACTTCAGACAGGGAAGTAAGATACAGCAGCAGTGGATATGATCCATCTTCTGCTGAAGAATGAATGATGGGAACTGTTGCTATACCATTTTGTAAAATTTTCAAAGCAACATTTTTCAAGTTATCATCTGGACCAGCCTGCACGATATAGATATAGGTCAAGATATTGACTGGTGAGTATGACAACTCCATAGACTAATATCAATTGAAGTATACACAATTAATCGACATCATCAACTTAATTCCAACTATGTTCGCGTAAGTGACATGAAATTTAAAGTCGCAATGTCAACACTTATTGCATGCAGCAAGAACATAACACCTTAGCGGAGAGGTTTCACAACGGATGCTTTCTTCTTCGAGTGTAACATTCTTAAGAAGGAAGTATGTGATAGAATTTCAAAAACACCCTATTTTAGGTACAGTTGCATTGATAATATCATGAGATGGAGAAGATTTCAGATAGTTCTCATTAACATTACTCATTTCAAAATTGATATATAAAATCAAAATGCACATTATGGAATATAAATGTACGTATTTTAAAAGTAATAATATTTATAAATTTTAAAAAATAAACAGATAGAATAAATAAAGGGATGCTTTGCAGGGTAAGAAAAAGCTGATAAGGTGATAATAGTTTCAGGAAAAAGTGAGAAGATAAAAACTTAATCCATGGATACAAAATTTCAGGATTTTGGATTTTTTATTTGTTTGCAGGATCTGCCTTTCTGTTTCCAATCGAGTAAAGTTTCAAGCATAGATAAATCCATAATGAAACCAAACAGATAATAGTTTCCAGCATGACCAGATATGTCAATAAATCATCAAATCCGAAGAGAATGCCACAGAATATGACATAGTATGTACTAATAAACTCACAGACACAATTGGTCTAAGAGCTGTTCCTCTTCTCTCATTAGTTTGTCTGTTTAAGTAAGACTTTGCTTCTTTCCAAGCAGAAATAGTGTGTGTCTCAAGTTCCTCTTCTGTGAGGTTGGACCCATGAGTTCCAAGCTGCAAATAAGAAAACAGGTCTTTAACACATCTTTTTCGTAATTTAGTTGATGGGTTTAGAGCCCACATATGAGTATGAAATTATTACTATACACTTGCCTCCCGCAAGATCAAGATAAAATCCAATGCACTTAGAACTCCAACAAAATTTCCCCTGTTAGAATCCCAAAGTGGAGCCATGGGAATACCCTGGAAATACAAGCACATAGATATTATGCATATGAATTTGATAGAATATAAAAAAGGATGGAAAATAAAATTATTATTTAAAAAACTGTTTAGTTGTGCATCAACATTCATAGAGATAAATGACTCACTCTAAACACCAAATTAGCCAGCCCGATCTAGAATGTTAGAGGTGAGAACAAAAATTCATTGTACAAGAGGAATTACCTGCTCGTGCAGGATATGAAATGCCTGCTTTACAGGGAGTTCAACACCTAAAGTAATGACCTGAAAGACACAATCACATCAAACAAGGAAATCCATAATTTGATCATTTATATTCAAGGATAATAGGGTAAACGATTTGAACCTTTCCTGACTCGGGAAGCAACTCATAAGCTACATGTGCAGACAAGACTGCATCTATATGTTGACGAGATCTGTCTATATCCGTCTGCGTTATTCTTGATATGGGATTTAAGGTACCATCTGACACCCTAACCTGAAGAACACCATATAAATTTGTATATATAAATACGAGATTATGTAAACTGCCCTGAAATCTAGAACAACAATAAAACAGTTTATGTGCATGAAGAGTAAAAGTGTCTGCAAATCAATTATTACTCAAGTCAATTTTGATGACAACCAAAAAACAACTAATTGTTATTTGTAAAAGATAATAATTTTTTTAGAGAACACTACTTTCTCCTGGGTTCCACAAACAGAGATGGGTTTCTTCAAATACATAAATAATCTTCAATTTAATTCCTCTGTATTAGATTTTTTTTGTTTCATTTTCTTTTTTGAGAAGTATTTTCTTATATTTGTTTCAGTTACATTTTGGTAAACCTTAAGTCTTAACTTACTTTTTCATTCGGTCAAAAAAACATACTTTTTCATCTTCTCTTTTCCTACATTTTCTACTTTTTCATCTTATCTTTCCTACCTTTTCTACTTTTTCATTTTCTCTTTCCTACCTTTTCTACTACTCAATCAGTCAATCCTACTATTCACACTTTCAACACTAGTCACTACCCTACTACTTTCTTCTCAATCTCCATGAAGAATATATAGGAGCAACTAATAAAATCTACTGAGTATTACATTAAATCGTGTCAGCAAATAGAAAGGGAAATGTAACCATCCCTTCTAAAATGGAAAAATTGAAACTGAAAAGATACAATTTACTGAACATGAAAGAATTTAACTACAATTAAAATGACTCGAAGAAAATCATTTTAATACCAATCTATAAGAAAAAAGGGTGACTAAAAGATTTTGCAAACTGCATGAGGATAAAACATGTGGGTCATAGAACGTTTAGATTTATGCCCTTCATACGTGGGCATTCAAACACAAAAGTATCTTAAGTACTTCATAACTACTCCATAAGACAACACGTGGAACATTATCGAGTTAGGAATAAAGAATTTCATATGATTTAAAGAAACACGGATAGTTCTAATGCTACGCTACCATCAGACTACAAAATATACTGACATAATCAAATGTAGAGTTCAAGCCCTATGTACCCCATTCCCTATACCACTTGTTTCAGGACCTCAACGATTTTAACTCAGAAATGCAGGCCTTTTGTTTGTTTGTTTGTTATGATAATTAAAATGGCACTGATAAAAAACACAACCTACAAGAATGCATATGAAACACTTTTTTGCTTCAATTCTTTTTTATCCAATTACAGCATGATTAAAAGTTGAGGGATCTGGGCATGTTTTAGTTCTTGGTATTGTCATTTTAATACTAGAGAAGCAACAGTACATAAAATTCAATGTAAAAAATGAGATGATACCCAAGAGAATAATAAAATGGGATCACGTAGATCCATATAACATACGTTACATAGCAACATAGTATCAGAAAGGTAAGGGGCATGTCAACATTATAGAAGTCAAGCAGAGCAATACATGCAACATGAACTACATAAAGAAAGGTGATGCGACACAAAAATCTCAAGGGTCAACAACAATGGTGAATGGGTTAAAGCAGACCAATTGTAGTTGTCTGAACTTTTGGGTGCTATGATGCTATCGCAAAAATAAATATATTAAATATAAATAGAAAATAATGCTCCACATAAAATTTCATTTCATATGTACATGATAAATTAATGGGGGAATTTGACTTTGCACCCCACTTTTTGGTTGATATTGGACTTTGCACCCCATTTTTAAAAAACTTTGATTTTGAACCCCGTCATATAACATTTTGTGAAGGAATTTTCTAAATGGGGTGCAAAATCAAAGGATTTTGAAGTGAAATGTGGTGCAAAGTCAAAGTTTTTTTAAATGGGGTGCAAAGTCCAGTATCATCCAAAAAGTGGGGTGCAAAGCAAAGTCCAATTCCCCCTAAATTGATATGTAAATGCTAAATTAAAATTGAGATTAAATTAAAAACAACAGGAAATAGGAAAATGACGATGCATCCAATATTTGCACATAGCAGCCTCAGAAACCTCATCCCAGGGAAAGCTCATAATTCCATCTCAACTCATTGTTAAAGATGTAAAAGAACCTGTTTTAAGAAAATAGGATCTGAAAATGCCAAGAAAAGGGAGAGAAGCTATAAGAACTTTTTTCAGAAGCAGAAAAGTCTCGTACCACACGCTGGAATGTATCGTTATCCACATCCATGTTGGAAATAGGAGCAATCTGGCCAGCATTTGCTGGAGGATTGTAGTCAGTTTCTCTAGGCAAGATGATAGTGTTTACAGTTCCATAATTTCCCGTAACAAAAGGTTGGTTCTCGTCATGCCTCCATTCACCATCAACAACAAATTTATACTGCACATGCACAGGGCTAATTCCCAATCAACAAGAGAAAAACTAAACAGTGCCTTTTGGCAGAATGAGACAACACAATAAAAAGATATGTGCCTTTGAAGATATAACACTTGACAGCCTTGAGGCATTTTTGTCATAGCCTCATGAGGTGTTAGCCTTGAGGCAAGCCAACATGCAACCGTCATATGTAAATAAAAGAATACTTGCAAAAATGTGCATAGCTCATTTAGGTGAGAAAATAATAAATATAGAAGTCCTATATAATATAAATAACTAACCAGTGCAAAATAACAAATATAATAGGGTAATATAGTTCTAGTGTTCATGAAAATAACCAAATGTTTATGCCAAGTGCTCTAATACAATTCAAATCACCCACAAAGAACTTGAAAAACACTGATGCACAGATGCGCAATCTTTCCTTGTGATATAAAATCTATTTTCTAAACTAATTACCAAGTATAGTGCAGCTCCTAGAATAAGAGGTAGCAGGTACCAGACCAAACAGATATAAGAAAATATCTAACTAAAGAGAAATATATCTAACTACTAACTAGGGTCCTTGGATTTTGCATATTGAAATATTGTTTGGTTAATACTTAAATAGTTGAAGTGTTTAACTAACTCAAAGACGGGCAAAGAAAAACAAAGCCTTCTTGATCCTGATCTGTCAAATAAAGCCACATTATAAAGACTTAAAGGACCATTTACGTGGTAAAACTGAGGCCTGTGCCTTCACAGCATCACGAAGCTTAGGCCTCAAGGCTTACACCTCATGCATGTGTGGCATATGCCTCTGTACAACAGATTTAGGTTTGAGCCGCAATGTATTTTTGCAGTGCTTCGCACTAACACAGTCGTCACAAACCGTACAACTCGGACACCTTTACATGGTCAAAAAATTATTACGACCCTATAGTGAAATTAAGCCTTTAAGGGGAACAAAAAATATCTCCTATCTTCAGTTTGATTCAGTCATCCAGTTATTCAGTTTTAGTCCATTTCCTAGTTTGAAATGAAGTCCCAATGATAGTACGGTGACTTTTGGGGATGTATAAGTGAAGATAAGCTGTTTGGGTCCTTTTGAAGATGAGCTTTATAATAAGGATTATTTGTTTGGCTAACAAATCCATAAAACGTTTGAATCAAGTATATTTAACCTAGTCTACAGAACTTCAAAAGTAGATCAGACTTATCAAACACATTTTAACTTAATGAGTTGCAGGTTCATTACACAGTATCTCCATCCTGAGAAACATTCAATTTGAAAGGAAGTGGGCAGAACTTCAATTAGTATGATGACTGAATGATGAGAAAATTTTGGTTCACAGTCGAATGTCCTCCCATTATTATGGTACAGAAAACCACGGATGTAAATGCAGACTTTCTTTAGAGTGTGTGGATAGAGCTAACATAATAGAAAACCATAGTATTCAACGCATTTTGCTTGAATAATATGAAAATCTAATATATCATCATATTTGGCTATTTGGCAAAAGAATAGTACAGAAAAACGTTAATGTGCCAAACTAGACTATTTAAAAAACAATTAAGACCAGTAAAATGATTTTGAAAAAAATAGCTGGTTCACAGTTTTGTGCTAGCAACAACGGTGAAATTAATCAGTAACAGAAAAAACCCAGAGAGCTGAATATAATTGCAGGACTAACCTGGTGATAACCAGGTGGTAGGCTACAGATAGTTTGAAATACAGAAGGACATCCCTCCACAGGAGTCATTGGCCACTGTAACCATCTGCACACAGTTCCCCTCTCATGTTAAAAATCACATAAAAATACGGAAATAAACTAAGCATTGTAAATAAAAAAACAGTTCTATAAATTCTCACCCTGTGAATGTCCCACTCAAGTACACATTTCTTCCACCATATGGCCATACAAACCGGGTATTGATTAACACTGTGTCGCCACCCCGACCATAATCCATCTCATTAGAGTACATTACTCCTGACCTCCAAACTCTGAGGCACAAACACGCGAAGCCTTAGGAGAAATCGCTAGCGTACGCAGAGACACGCGCCACGTAGCGTACGGTTGACAGAATCCGAGGAATGCCTGGGAAAGGAGCGAGATACACACAGCAAACCCAGTAAAGCGCGAATTTTGGAGGTGGGGTTCACGGAGCGGTGAGATGTACAGCGGACCAAGTAGTGGGGTCGGGGTTGTGGTACGGAAGAACTCGGCAGAGGTGGAGACGGTGGTGATGGGCCGGTTGCGGCAGAGAATTGATTGGCTTAGGGGGCTTTTTTCTGCAGAGGTGTGGATAGGAACGACGGAGGCGACGAGGGTGAAGCTCCACATTCGACGGATGCGGTCGTCAGATACACAGATCTGTTTGGTACTTCGGGAGCGGAGCTTGTTTTTTCAGATCTCCCGGGCTAGGGTTCCAGGTCCCTTGTGTTTTTCATTTTACTTTTTATTTCCCACCTATGTTCTTTTTTTCTCATGGATTGTCTTTCATTTGTCTATACTCTATATTAAGGAGTATGATTTTTATTTATGAACTATCCATATTCATTTTCCAAAACTTGTTTTCATTTTTAAGTTTGATGGAGTTTAATCCAATAACAAGAGCTAAATCTACGGGAGCAGATGATAATTTGGCAGCGTAAGGCGGTGTTTTATTGATCAATGTTCCGATCCCCTTTTCGGAGGTTTACAAGTCCTATTTATAGGTTAAGGAACTAGTGTTACAAAAGAAAACTGATACAATAAATGCTATTAATTATGCATTAGTTCGAATAGGACTCTTGTAACGTCTTGGCCGTTGTGCAATGATTGTTCCTTTATTCCCACGTTCCAGCCGTTTAACTCCTTCCAGCTATCGTTCCAATGATAGCATGCCACATCAGCCCTAGGGATATCCCAGCCTCACTAGAACTCCACTCAGGCTCGAGGCGTGCTTTCCAGTCTGGCCTGGCTGTGAGTTCCTCTCGCGGGTTTGGTCCCTAGTTAGGCCCAGTGATTATCTAGCATTGATCCCGTTAATTAGGCTAATCCTCGTAGAGGGGTTAATCCCGTCATGGGATGGATTGTGTAATTGGGCCATGGTCGGAATCCATGGTACCATCACGAGCCCCCTTACTCTCCAAAATAAGTGAGGCTGGATTTTGGGAGAGTAATTGGAGTGACTCATTTCAAATTTGGAATCTTTAGGGGAGAATTGCCGCGTCGCCTGCATTAAATGCGCCCGACTTGACATAGGCCTGCTACCCGGTACAGTTCATGAGCCGACTTACCATTTCCAGTACTTAAGTGTCATCATTGCGGTTCCCGAGCGGTCTTCAAGCGGTTTCTCAAGCCCTACTTTTTTGGCTATTTAAATACTTGTCGTTCTACATCACGCTCTTTCGCAATCTTCCTTTCGCTTCGACATTCGTCTTCTTGGTTGGGAGCTCTAGGCCGCGCAACTCTTTTCCTCGTCTTCAAGCTTCATCGGGTCAGCTTCCCTGATGTCTTCTTCAAGTTCCATCCCCTTACACCATGTATTCCCCGAAGTAGGGGCCTCCTCTGAACGGCCCCGCATTCCGGTGGACCCGGATGGGAGGGAAACTCAATTCTCTCTCGCGCGCGAGTATGCCCGGCAAGTCTTGGCCGTGGCTTTGTCTGATGCTGAATTTGGCGAAGCGGTGGCCCTAGCGGGCCCTAGAGTTGTCTGTTCTCGTCCCACCCCTGGACAAAATATCGTCGATTCTCCTTCCCCTCATCATTTCGGAGTCCATCTGGCCAGTCTTCAGGTAGGCCTCCGGTTCCCCCTCCATACTGCCGTTCTGAGTGTCACGGGTTACTATGGCGTGATTCGTGGCCAATTTTCCCCAACCACCCATTGATGGAGTATATGGGCCTGGACCCCAAGGCCCACATACAGGAGAACAGAAGGTACCACAATCACCTGGTGGGACCCTCGTCGGCCATATGACCCCCATCGGCAAGAAAGAAGTTTAGTCAGATTACGACCCAGAAGCCAGGAGAGTCGGGTGACCTCATCGGCTGGGTCTTCGTCAGCCATGCCCTCGTCGGCCAGAAATAGCCTCCAGAACAAGGTTTTGTACTTAATCATTTCCATACACTTTGTATCCTGCCCATTAGTAGCCCTATTGTAAATGGGCTTCCCAAGCCCAAGACTTGGGAGCACAGCCCTAATTTTCTCTATAAATACTCCCCTTGGGAGTAGTTATAGGAGTTCAAAAAAATCATTAATACAAGGTATTTACTGCACTTCTCTCTCTAGCTCTCACTTCTCTCTAGACTTATAATCCATCATTTGGTGCTTTCATTGAGAGCTAGAACGATCAAGTTAGCCTCCTTCGTCGCTACCAAGCACAGCTAACTGACAATGGGAACAAACTAAGTCAAACCGCAACCTCCTCGGCAAGGCCATCCCTGAGGCACAAGAGAACCAAGAGCACGAGGAGGATGCTACGGCCGACAAGGCCACCGAGGGGGATGTCTTCCAGGAAGCCATCGACCTCGCAGGTGACCTGCGCAACAAGCTCAACGGCGGCGGCCTAGACGCCCGCATCGGCTTGGATAAGAAGCGCGCGAAAAAAGGAGACAACGCCTCGGCGCAACCGGCCTCTCCTGCTGTTGACCCTCAGCTTCAGGCCGCACTCTCGGCCATCATCGCCAGCTTGGCCCAGAACCCCACCGTCCTCAGCGCACTCATGCCAAGGACGAGGGAGAACACGACGCCGCCTCCTCAACCCCAGCCATTGGTCGTCAGGCTAGGCAACGATGAGAGGGTGGTGCCCCAGGACACGACGTCGTCCCACTCCCACCCTGCTTCCCCGCTTCGAGCTGGACCGACCCCAGCGCGTGGAAAAGCCTCAGCCTTTGACAGGCTAGGTGACACGTGTCATCGGCCTACTTCGGAGAGGATGGCAGGGCGGATTGGTCAGCGTTAGCCTGGCTCACCCAGGGAAAGCTTGGGGTCGGTATCCCGAACAGCGGATCGGCCCCGCCTGGACAAAGGCAAGGGGAAACTGCATGAGGGTGATGCCCGTCACCAAATCAACACAGCTCACACAGCCCACTTGCAAACACGGGGAGCCACCATGGCGGCCAAAGACCCCAGGGACGAGGTGATCGCCCAACTCGAGCAAAGGCTCGCCCAGATGGAGGCCAAACAGCTGGCTGCCACGCCCACTGGCAACTCATCCAGGGATCCCGGTTTCAACACCCTTCTGAACAAGGTCACCATCCTTGAGAGGGAGTTGGCCGAAGGACAAGGAGACCCCATCATCCAAGTCAGGACGAGGACTCCCTTCACTGCTAGGGTACTCTCATCCCCAATCCCCGAGAAGTACCGGGGAAATGCCATCAAGCCCTACGACTACCGTTCCGACCTCCAGGAGCACTTCAGCCGTTACCAAAATAATATGCTGATGGTGAACGCATCAGATGAATACCTCTGCCGTTGGTTCCTTTATACCCTTGAAGGGCCAGCGTATGAGTGGTTCAACGCGCTCCCCGAAGGTAGCATAGACTCGTGGCGGGACCTTGCCCAGCGCTTCCTCACTCACTTTTCCAGAAGGAAGCGCGCGAAGAAGTATTTCACCCATCTTCTCTCCGTCAAGCAACAACATGATGAATCACTCCGGTCATTCATCGACCGGTGGACGAGGGAGACCGATGAGGTCGAGGTGGCCGATGAGCGCACCCTCCTTGTACGCTGACGCCGATGAGCTCCACAGCCAGAAGAAAGACGGAGAGCACCTCTCCAAGAAGACAAACGCCGCACCAGCTGCAGGTGCACCCTCGACCAGGGACCGAGGTCAGGGAGGACAAGGCCGCCATGGATCTAGCGGAAAGAATAAGGACCGCATATGGTGGCCGAGGATGGAAAGGCCAAAGATCCCACTCACTCATCTGGTCAGCTCCATCCTCGATTACGCCGAGGAGCACGACCTCATTGAGCGAGATCCTCGGTCGGCAAAGGAGATATATGTCGTCCATCAGGGTGGCACCTACTGCCGTTACCACCGGAACACCTCCCACAACACAGATGACTGAGTCACGCTGAAGCGAGCCATCGAGAAGCTGATTCGTCAGGGGGAACTCTACCAGTTTGTTAAAGGTGGTCCACGCAAGAATACATGGGTAAACACCGGCAAGCCTGGGGGCGAACCCTCTAGGAAGAAGCGAGAGATCGGCAGGCTCAACGATGACGAGGAAGACTTTGAAGAGCACCACCCGAAGAGGAACCACATCAACCTCATCATGGGGGGTAATATGAGGGGGGACTCGGCCACTCAGAGGAAGAAGTGGGCCTGATCCCTTTACATTGGGGAGGTATCCCATGCTCCCCCCCAGCCGAAGAAGCAGCGGACAGAGGCAATCACCTTCACCGACAAGGATCTGCCTTCGGGACCCGTGTCACACAGAGACGCCCTCGTCATCCGGTGCGAGATAGGTGACTCTATCATCCACCGCACCTACATCGATACGGGGAGATCTGTCAACGTCATGTATCTTGACACCTTCAGGCAGCTAAAGCTGGACAAAGCGTTGCTCAAGCCGATAAAGACACCGTTGTCCAGCTTCACCGGGGACTCTATCGACGCTAAAGGCACGATAGTCCTTCCCGTGGAGGTCGGCGACGGCTCCCATCGCACCAAAATTGACATGGAGTTCATGGTGGTCACCCTCGAGTGCGCCTACAATTTGATATGGGGGCAGCCAGCACTAGAGGATCTGGAGGCCATCATCTCCATGAAACATCTGTGCCTGAAATTCCCTACCAGCGGCGGTATCGGCTACACCCGAGGGAACCAGAAGATAGCTCAAACATGCTACCTAAAGCTCACAAAGCCGGCAGCTACCGCTGGGCAGAGAATAGACACCATCACCGCCACCGTCACCAAGGATGAGGAGAGGCCACACGCCAAGTCAGTCGAAGAGGTCGAGGAGGTCCCCTGGATACCTTCCGGCCGGAGCGCGTCCTAAAAATCAGGAAACAGCTCTCACAGGATCAACGCGATGGCATCCTCAACGTCCTACGCTCATATGCAATCATTTTTGCGTGGGGGCGGACGATGTGCCTGACATCAGCCGAAGAGTGATCACTCACCG